CAAGACAAATATGTTCCAGTGCTTCCCCGGTTGGGTGTGCATCAGAGAGAGTCCCAGGAGGGCTGGTTCCCATGCAGATCGATGAGCCTCACCCCTGCAGGTTCTACATCAGGAGATTTGGGGTGGGCCCAAGTATTTGCAAGTTCCCAGGGGATGCTGATGCTGCTGGGCTGGAGTTTTAAGGACCATCGGTTTGCCCCTTCCTTGGCTTTCATTCTCCCCACCATCACCATATACTATGTATTCCCATTCAGGACTTCAGACTGGGGACCCATACACTCCAGGCTATACGAGGGCTGGCTTTCCCAGAGGTCCATGGTACAATCATCTTGTGGGAATCGATGTACAGATGCTCAACTTTCCTGAGTCCCTTTCCCCAAATTGACCTGCTGGAGAATGTTCCTGTGGTCGGCAGTCTCCTCTGCCCACCACCCTTTCTACAAAGTCCCTCCTCCACTTTAGCAGAAGGTGCACGTCTTTGAAGAGTCCAACTCTTGATCTCAGCTCATGTCATGGAATGAAGGGATGAGAGTGTGGGGAGCTCCCTCCTTTTGATCATAGTGCCACGGATCCGTGGCATACTCTCCCTCATACTCTGCCTCAATGTTGATCTATTTTGTAACAGGGCAAATTGTGGATTTTGTCTTGGTTCATGGTGGGTTATTCTGAATTTGGGTACATTGCACAGCAGGGTGTATTGGCGATTTTTCTTTAATTACTTTGCCTCCTTGATCCCACAAATGTTGTTCTGGAATTCACTCATGACTAAGGAGTGTCTTGTGAAAGCAAAAGAAATGTTGGTAGTGGAAGTAACTTATTCAGGGAACACAAACTCGTAGATAAGTTCCATCTGCCCATCTATCTGTCTGTCCATCTCTCTGTCTATCCATCCACCCATCTGTCCACGTATCTGCCTATTTACCTATCTGTCTACCAAACCATCTTAGAATGACAACATTCATAATTTGGAAAAAGCATTCTGGGAAATAAAAGTGTAGGCCAAGTGCATCCCTACTGTTGCTGCTATTCTCAGTGATGAGAAAGAGCCTAGGGTTCCTCATCCATTCTTTCCTTGGTCCTTGTCTCTGTGGAGTATTTTTGCCTAATTTCAAATAGGAGTAGGTGAAATGTCCTAAACTTACTTCCTGCAGGTCACCTTTGAGTAAAATATCTTGTCTCGATGGAAGTCAGTGTTTCACATATTCTTGAACACCAATTCAGACTCGTAGGAGAAATACTTTTACTTAACTTTTGCGGGAAGATTACTAGCTACTGTAAATCCACATTTATGTTTTCCTTGGGTGTAAATCTCTTACTTGCTGTTGCTTGTTCATTTATTCATTCTCAGTGCATTTTTATTCAATGTAGATGAATTTAATTGTGCATGGCATGGATTCTACTGAAAAGATCTAGTTTTCAAAATTACTAAAGGGGTTATGAGTAAAAAAAAAATGTGAAGACCCCGTTCTAGAGTAATCCATGCGTCTGTACACTCTACACCCGTGCACAGACAGTGCACTCTCAATCTGAAACACTGGCCTGCTTGCCTATCTTCTGCCGCTGGGAGCCCAGAGATGCCACAACATAGTCCCTTGCAGGTGCCCCAAGAGGTAGACCTTGGGGAGCTCACAGCTGAATGCTGCGAACAGGTAGATTCTAACGCAGCAAGCAAGAGAAGGGTGTGTAGATGGAGGTCCAGAGGACAAGGGGATGAACTGGGTAAGGGTGAGGGGTCAGGATACTCTGACAATCTGAATGGAGGTTTGACTGCAAAACAGGGAAGGGCAGCCCAGGCAGAAGGAACAGTAGTGCAAAGGCAGAAAGGAACAAACACCCAGGAAGGTGCGGCAGGAGCTAGGAAACGTGACACGCAGTGGTGGGAGGTGCAGCTGGGAGGGGAGAGAAGAAAGATAGTCAAGGCTGTGGCTTTTGTAGGCCACTCCCATTTGTGTGTGGCCCTCCTGAACTGCACACGTGCATCTGTGTTCACGCGCACCCTGATCTGCACATGTGTGAACCGTCACATTCTGATGCTCAGCCAAGTGCACACACCAGCACTAACATAGCGCAAGGTCATGCCTCTCTCCCTCCTTCCTTCTTGCAGCACTGTCTGAGTGCCCACTCTACACTGGGTTCCTTGGAGATAAAGCAATGAATCAGGATAAAGCAGGGTCTCTGCCCCCGCAAGTATTACTGGGAGGGACAGACCATTCACATCGACCACACACTATGACAAGTGACACAATGGGCGAGCAGAGTACAAAAGGAGAGTCAGAGGGGCGCCTGGGTGGCTTAGTTGGTTAAGCTTCCGACTTTCGCTTAGGTCATGATCTCGCGGTTCGTGGGTTCGAGCCCCGCGTCGGGCTCTGTGCTGACTGCCAGCTCAGAGCCTGGAGCCTGTTTCAGAGTCTGTGACTCCCTCTCTCTCTGACCCTCCCCTACTCATGCTGTCTCTCTCCTAGAAATAAATAAAACATTAAAAAAAAATTAAAAAAAAAAAAAAAGGAGAGTCAGAGAAGGCTTCCTGGAGGAAGAGTCATGGAAGCTGAGACTTGAAGAATGAGAAGGTGTTGGCAGGAATAGAAGGGGGTGTTAGGAGTAAGCATCCTAGGTAGAAGAAGAAGCAGGAGGTACAAAAACCTGGCTGGAGAGAGGACAGCCGGCAGAAAAATACAGAAAGGGGCCAGGAGAGGATTTATGATTTCAATATAGGAGTGGCAACTTGGTGAGCAAAATCCCAGGGATGTTGCTGCAAGACTCACCTTGGGTTTTTGTTTTGTTGGGGAGGCCGGGGACCCAAGCTGATGGACACCGGTGACTGTGGTGGGCACCCCCCCTTCTGCAAGTACCCCTGGAGGCTCTAAAGAGTCAGGCGTGGTTCCGTTCCTCCTAGACATCACCCTGTAGTTTTAGCAGCCATTGAGCGTCACGGCCTGAGTCAGTGGTTCCCAATCAGGGTGGCTCTGTCTCCCAGACACTTGGTCGTGTGCAGAGACACTCAATTGTCACAGCCAGGGCTCTGTTACTGGCATCTAGTGAGTATCTAGAGCCAGGAGTGCTGCGGAATAAGCATGTACGCCTCACAATGTACAGGACAGGGCCCACGGCAAAGGATTATCTGGCTCCAAACGTCAATTGTGGTGAGGCTGAGGAAACTTGGCCTAGATTCTTTCTTGCTGGAGGGTAGCAAGATAATGATGTTCTAATTCTCTCGTTTCTGCTGTGTTTATTAACTGGGGTTCTTCTATGAACTAAGAACTTTCCTCCATCAACTCATCAGTTCTTCCAAGAGGCTTAATTTCATACAGAAATTCATACAGGTGCTTGATTGTTGATTCTTTCTCTATTTTACTGCTTTTCAGAATAAATAGTTAACTGGTGTCCTTCAAGGATAACTGCAATTTTTAGTATCACCATGGGAATTATTAAAAGCTTATTTAGTGCTGAGGCATAGGAGCACGTGTACCCCAATGTTCATAGCAGCACTCTCCACAATAGCTAAAACATGGAAAGAGCCTAAGTGTCCATCAACAGACGAATGGATCAAGAAGATGTGGTTTATCTATACCATGGAATACTACATGGCAATGAGAAACAATGAAATCTGGCCATGTGTAGCAACATGGATGGACCTTGAGGGTGTTATGCTGAGCGAAATAAGTCAGGCAGAGAAGGACAAATACCATATGTTTGCACGTATAGGAGGATTAGGAGGAACTTGACGGAGGACCAAGGGGGAGAAGAAGGGCGGAAATGGTGGGGGAAAGGGAGAGAGGCAAACCATGAGAGACTCTTGAATGCTGACAAAAACTGAGGACTGATGGATGTGGGGGGGAGGGGGGGATGGGCATGAAGGAGGGCACTTTGGGGATGAGCACTGAGTGTTATGTAGAAACTAATTTGACAATAAACTATTTGTAAAAAAAAAAAATAAAATAAAAGCTTATTTAGGGGACGCCTGGGTGGCTCAGTCGGTGAAACATCTGACACTTTATATATATATATATATAACTATATATATTAATTTTTGAGAGAGAGAGAGAGTGAGCAGGGGAGGGACAGAGAGAGAGGGAGACACAGAATTCGAAGAAGGCTCCAGGCTCTAAGCTGACTGCACAGAGCCGGATGAGGGGCTCGAACTCACAAACTGTGAGACTATGACCTGAGTCGAAGTCAACTGAGCCACCCAGCCACTCCATTTTTTTAATTTAATTTTTTAAATTTAGTTTTGAGAGAGAGAGAGAACGTGCATGTAGGCAGGGAGGGGCGGAGAGAGAAGGAGACAGAGGAGCAGACTCTCTGCTGACAGCAGAGAGCCTGATGCTGTGGGGCTCAAACTCAAGAACCTTGACATCATGACCTGAGCTGAAGTCGCATACTTAGCCGACAGAGCCACCTAGATGCCCCAAGTATCTGACTCTTGATTTCAACTCAGGTCATGATCTCACTGTTCGTGAGTTCAAGCCCTGCATCAGGCTCTGCGCTTATTCTCTCTCTCTCTCTCTCTCTCTCTCTCTCCCTCTCCGCCTCTCCCCTGCTCATGCTTTCTCTCTCAAAATAGATAAATAAACATTAAAAAATAACTTATTTAATGTCCCTCGATCTATAGCCGTCATTATTCTTTCTGAAGGTCAAGTTCTTCCACCTTTGGCCAAAGAGGGCTCCTTCTGGTGGCTCTCGTGTTCTATTGCCCTATATTCTGATGGCTTCTTTGCTTCCTGGTGTGACAAGATGTCCCCAGTTTGTCTTGTACATTTCCCACCCCCACCCAGGGATCAGCTATTTCTCTCAGAGCCTGTGTTCATTTTGGTGGAGACACTCAGGGCTTACCGAGAGTGACAGGAAATGGTTCCTATGAAGCACAGTGCCCCGGGGGAACATAGTGGGTGCTCATCTAATGCCGTGGTTTTGAAGACAGATTCTCTGCCACGTTGCTTCAACTCCCTTCCTCCCCCCAATCTCCAGTACATTCCAGCACTTGCTTTCTGTACCTCCAGACAGTCTGGGGTGGGGCCTGAGCGTAATGAGGGTTCAGGTTACCAAGGGGAGTTTTGCAAGTAGTGGCTTTGTTGGGTAGAGGGACCGGCCAGCCAGCCACGAGAGAGCACGTCCATTAAAAGCCTAGGTAAAGGAAGAAGAGAGGAGCAATTAGCTAATTCAGGAGTCAAGGCTTTGCTTTTGTTTTCACTGTCAATTTTAATCCTGTCATAACCTTTGACCTAAGCCTGGGGGCAATTAGTGCCTGCTAATGAAGTGGTGGTGGGTTTGAACTTCTGCTTTCCTCCCCAGGCTGAGTCAATACTTTGTATTCTAGCACACGTAATTGAGGTAAAAGGGTTTATTTAAGCTAACAAATGATTCTTTCCCACAATAGAATCTCCATCCCAGTTAGTGATTTGGCTCTTCAGGCATCCTCTGTTTTGTCTGCTGCCAAAGCCTGTATTTTATTGACTGCTTTGCCTCTTCTCTCCTTCCTCCTTGCTTCTCTCTCCCTCTTCTTACCCCTTCTCTTCGCCCTCATAATTGAATTCAGTAAATTCACTGTAGCTACTGGTTACCCATCAGGAGGCATTAGGCGGGTCAGGCTCTTAGATCCCAGTACAATTCAGACCCGACCCAGAAGGATCTCACAGCCCGGTGACTAAGACAGACCTATAAACACATAAATCACGAAATCTACTGCAGTGTGATGAGGGCGAAGTAATTCAACAAATCTAAATGAAGGAGCTGAATGGGGAGGAGTGGTCTTTGTGCAGAAGAGGCTAGGGAGGGAGAAAAGACTGGAAACATTTGAACCGTTTAGACTTAAGGCTTCTGTGAACCAAAGAGGGTTTTTATCCAAGTGACCCGAAAGGTGCCATTCTTCTTTCAGAAGAATGTGGCAGACTTCTCACTATAGAATGCAGATTTGGATTTGGGAACCCCCCTTCCCCTGTGGGGTCATGTACTTCAGAGAAACCTTGTGTTGTCTCCATCCTCGGCCGATGGGGGGAGTCTTAAGTCATCAAGGCCAATCATACGAATTGCATTTCCTTTCCCAATTGATTGGCTTCATAAGGGGCATGTGACTATAGTCTGGCCAATGGGCTACGAGGGGAAGTATGTGGGAGGTAGTGGTGGGCCATGTTTCTAGGGAAGTTTCTTAACTCTTGTAAGCATACGTCATAAGGAAGTCATGGCCCTTTTTTGAGTCTGGATTTTGGGTGAGGGTGTGGTAGCTAGAGCTGTTGTAGCCATCTTGCAACCCTGAGGACAACTACCTGCTGTAGTGAGGATGGAAGAGTGAAGTGATGGAAGAAACTTGGATCCTTGACGCCATCATACAGCTGCTGAATTCAGCCACGTGGGGCCTTCCTGGAGACTTCTCATTGTCCGAGACAACAAAGTGTTCTTGTATTTAAGTCGCTTTCAGTGGGTTGCTGAAAGCTTCCCAACTGATACAGAAGAGGGGGGAGAATTTGAAGAATGTGTCCTGAAGAGAGGGAAAGAGCATTTCAGGGAAGGCATATGGACAAAGATGCCAAAAAAACAAGAAATGTACATCGTAAACGTATGGAAGTCCTAGTTCTCGGAGATGAGGTCCTATAGGGTTTGGCCATGTTAGGTAATACCCCAGGTCCCCACTCTGTGTCCCTCTGTCCTTCCATTCCCCTGAGGGGGTTCTCTTCATCCAGGATCCTCTCCAAATGTACCTGAGAGGGAGATGCAGGTAGCAACCATCTTAGCCTCGCTATATGAAGTGTGTCAAGTGTTCACTCTGTATCAGGCTCTGAGCTGGGCTGAGGTGAACAAGATACGATCCCTGCTGAACAGAGCTCTTGGCCCAGGGACAGAGATGCAAACATAAACCTATGACCCTAAACATGTGATAGGTGTCAGGGCAGAGGGTTTTAGCTGGGCTGCGGCGAGCATCATGGGTGAACATTAGTTCATAACTAGCTCATGCCACTCATAACTCACAATGTTCGTAAGTTATGAGTTTATTTTGATGATCAATTGCTATGTATAGCAGAAATATAAAATTTCCTTTAGCATGTATTTAAGAAAAGAAAAAGCGTTAATTTGAGGAAAACTAGTTGGTAATGTTGTAAGTGGCGTGTGGCTATGGTAAAACTCGTGCAATGCAAATGAAATAATGTGCGCGCGCACGTGTGTGTGATGTTTGTCTGCTTGGTCTTTTTGTCAATTGTATGAGAACAGACTTCTGTTTTTGTAGGAACTACTGTTTCTCTGCTTTATGCAGTTTCTCCGGGAGACACCATACACTTACATGACCTTCCCTACTCCCACTGTATTCAATCAGTGAGGCTTTTCCCAACCATGAAAACCCCCACTCTAGTGGCAGATGCTATGAAACACGAGGCTTGGGGGCTGTTGGCCCGCCCCTTACCCTGCCAACGACATCGACCTGGAGAGACAGAGGCAGGCAAAGAAAAGGGAAAAGAGCAGACTGAGTCGATTCTCATTATTCATGGTAGTTATGTCCTATAAATTGGCCACAAACTGAATTAGTGACTGCTGAACCATTGCTCCTAGGGGAAATAGAGGGCAAGGTTCCTGTGAGCCCCTGGTCATGACATTTTCATTAACTCATCAATAAATAACCTTGTTTTATTTGTGTTTTGGTTAAAGACACCTTATTTAATATACATTGTTGATCCATTAACATTACACTGTGGCTATATGGCCAGCAGCTATAACTCATGCTTGAGCGAAACTCAGATAATACACGTTTTCTCCACAAGGTATAGCCCAGCCTTCCTGCTCTTAGTACGGATAGGCAGCCCTTCAGAACTACGGTTGGGGACCACTTTCAACAATGAAATCACCACCAGAAAGCACTAAAATGAGAAAAATGGGGCACTGACTAGACAACAACAAAAAAGATACTTGTTCACCTTCTGAGAGCTGAAATAAGAACACAGAGGGTCACTTTGTTTAGCCTAAGTTGGGAATGTGTATATTGGGTGACTCAAAATTTTTACTACTCTGCACATGGCCATGAATGACCATGCAAATGCTACAAATATTGATGTGGAGGTTACAAATACATTTTAGCAAGTAAGTGAAATCACAAATAGAGAATCCATGAAAAATGAGAACTGGCTGTAAGATAGAAGGATAGGGATAGAGAAGAGAGAGGGGGAGGGGCAAATAGGGTGTGCTATCAGCTCTGGTGGGGGGGTTTGAGTCACTGGGTTTGAGTCAATGGCTCTTGCCATTTCTCTGTCTTTCTTATGGTTTGAATATTATATTTTTGTTTGATTATATGAGATATTTCAAAGTCCTTTCTACATCTCACCCTCTTTTGTTTTACTCTAAGATGATTCCACTGGAATGCTATTGCTTACAACCAAAGGAGTTCTGACCTAGTTTATAAAACCCTTGGCACATAGTAGGTCCTCTGTCAATGTGGTTCTCTTCCTTCATGGAATACAGGGTTGGCTAAAGTAACCAATGAACGTATGTCACAAGAGAGGTAGTGGTGAGGAGAAGGAAGGCTTTACAATGTGGAAAATAGGGAGCAACATATTTCCAACTTTTCCCTTCACCCTTTGCGTTAGCAGCCACTTCTTGCCATGTTCCAGTACAGATGGAAAAGTCACTGAATTACAAACTGGGTGGAAGCTATTTTTGGTGGAGTTGTGGTGTGTATGTGTGTGTGTGTGTGTGTGTGTGTGTGTGTGTGTAATGTACGCATTGGGATTCTTGGCCACTGCCTCTGTTTGTATCAGCTGTCAGCAAATCAGAGGCGCCATACACGTTTGTCATAATTCATTACATTAATTAACCATGTTTGAGAACTGGGCGCAGGCCAGAGGGGATGTGGGGGAGGGAAGCCTCCACATTGTTGTGTCTGAACCTCCCGGGTCAGAATTTCCACGGTTTGATGGGCTGCCATCGCCTGCACATGTGTCCCCTGACACTTGGACCTTGATGAAATCATCATGTTTACATCTTTGAATATTCCCTGCAGATGATGCCCGTGGCGGGAAGCCAGAGGCAGAGAGCGTCCCAGAACTTGGCTCTGGAGGCCCATCGCTGTACCCAAAAGAGTTTGGAATTACCCTGACGTCCGATACCAAACTAGGCATCCTTCTCGAGCCCATCCCTCTCTGGCCGGTTCCCTGGGCAGGCTGCCTGGCCCTGGCCTTCTGCAGGACAAATGGTGCCGGCTGTACCTCTTCTGACTCAAGACCCAGTGGGGTGAAGCTGTCTTCTCTTCACGTCCCCCCTTGCAGTGAATGGTGCCATTGCCTACCCAGCTGCAGTCTTTGAATGCGCTTCTACCTCTTGACTCTTGCTGCATCCAACCAGCCTCCATGTCCCATTGGTTTCCCATTGTTACCATTTCTGAAGTCCTTGCACTCTTCGGTGCTACTGCACCACTGCCCAGCCTGGGCCTCTGTCGCCTATTGCCTCGCATGGCAACAGCCTCACCTCTGGCCTCCTCTTTAACTCTTTCTCTCTTCCATCTTTCCTGTGGGCTGGGGCCACGGGGACTTTTCCAAAATGCGAATAGAAGCGTGTAGCTCTCCGGTTGCTTTGCCCTTGACCTTGGAATCCTTTGCTGGGGCTTACAAGGCCCTTTCTGAGCTGGCCCTGCCACTCACTGATTCCTGCCCATTTCTAAGCCTTATTCTCTGGCCTCCCTCTCAGTTCTTCCCATGAATTTCCTTTGCCTAAGTTAGTTTCTGTTGTATATAACCAAATCCCTGACTCCTGAATCATCTAAGTTTCTGTTTATCCCATACGTGAGATTAAGAGCAATTTTTCTTTTCAACAAAAATGTCCCATATTCTTACTGTGTACTCAGCCACCGGGCCACCAATCAATATTTGGCCACAGTCTTTCTGCTTAGAAACTGGGTCCTTAGTGATACCATTTAGGCTACTTGATGAAACCTTACCTGAAGCTAGCCCCAAAAGTTTTCCAGTGTCTTCAGTCGACAGATTCTCTTTATTTTTGAATTAAATTTTCTGTGGCTTTCAACTTGACACAGACATTGAATCACAAACTGTTTTGAGGCAAGGACAATGCCTGCTTCATCATGACCCTAATCATCTGCTAGGGTGGACTTTTATTTGGATTATCCTGGCCTGTTACCAACCGAAGGAAGATCCTCAGTTTGGGGATATGAGTATAATTACTCTCTGCATATTATTTACAATTTATAAATCACTCTCACACTCATTATCTCATTTAAACCTCTCAACAATCCTGGGAAGTGTGTGTAATTGGATCATTTTAAAGATGAGAAAACTGAGGTTCAGAGAGGTAACAGGATGGCCCCACGTTACATGGCTAGTGAGAAGCAGGGCTAGTGTTTAAACCCTGTCCTCTGGTTCAGGACTCGTGTATTTTCTCATATTCATGCATTTATTCCAGAAGAGCAAAAATGATTAAAGACTGCTGTGTTCAGGGACCTTGCTAGGCTTCAGGGAATACATTAGCAAACAAGACAGAATCTCATTCTTAAGGAACTTACTGACCAGCAGGAGACACAGGCGGTAGAGTGATGTGTGATGGGGTGTCTGGTCATTCGGAGTCTGAAGGGCTGGTTGGCAAGCCACCGCTGGATGAACCCCCACAGTCGCAGTCTCTGTGTCTCTCTGTGTAAGGTTCAAATTCCAGGCCTGGGTGGGGCGGGAGGCAGGTTAGAACAGATACAAAAGACCGTGTGCAGGGAGAGCAGGGAATTCTGCAAGAGGAGACTAGGACTCTAGTAGGAATGGGAAACAGGAACAACCAATGTCTGCTCTGACTCAGGACCCTTGAGCCACTTACTGGATGCCAGGGTTACCATCAAGAGTTAAAGTCATGGGGCGCCTGGGTGGCTCAGGTCATGATCTCACAGTTTCTGAGTTCAGGCCCCATGTCAGGCTCTGTGCTGACAGCTCGGAGCCTGGAGCCTGCTTTGGATTCTGTGTCTCCCTCTCTCTCTGCCCCTCCCCAGCTTGCATTCTGTTTCTCTCTCTCTCTCAAAAATAAATAAACATTAAAAAAGAAGAAGAAGAATAAAAAAGAGTTACAGTCGCTACACTGCAGCTTCTATTAAGGGATTTCACAATTTTGGACATCAGATTTTTGTCTCCTTCAGTCTTTTTTGACTTATTTTGACTTATTTTGAAACCGTAGTCAGTGTATTTTTTCATCTTCTCTTGTAAGACTGTCAATACCTACTGTATACACTCAACTCTACCCATGGCAGCATAATGGAGGCTGGTGGTCTTTCCCACTGAGCCCAGATAAAGACCCAGAACTCTCTCTCTCTTTTTTAAGTTTATTTATTTATCTAGAGAGACAGAGAGAGAGAGAGAGAGAGAGAGAAAGAGAGAGAGACAAAGGGAGAGAGAGAGAGAGAGAGTGGATGTGGGAGAAGGGCAGAGAGAAGGAGAGAGAATCCCAAGCAGGTTCTTCACTATCAGCACAGAGCCCGACTCTGGGCTCCAACTCTTGAATCATGAGATTGTGACCTGAGCTGAAATCAAGAGTTGGACATTCAACCGATGGAGACACCCAGGTACCTCAAGACCCAGACCTCTTATTACAGTCCTCAAGGCCACTACCAATCACCCAGAGTTGGCACGTGAGGTACAATCTATTTGCCCGTCCTATCTGAGGGGCTGTGGAGCCTTGGGAAAATTCCTCCCTTTCTTTGGGTCCTGGTTTCCCCATCTGTTAAATAATGGCCCGAGTGATCTGTAAGCTGCCTTCCAGTTCTAACAGTGTGAGAATGGTGGATCTTGAAGTCACTGGGTGGGAAAGCACCTTGTGGGTCAGAGGCTTTCAGTAGGTCCCTCCTTCCCTTCCCCCTCCCTCTGGGACCTTAAGGAGGGTGGGAATCAGATCATGTCCTGGGACACAGACGAAATATTTCCCTCATAACCCATGCAGCTAACTGCTGTAGATCACCTGAGGCTCAGGGTGGTGGATTCAAGGAGCAAAATGGCAAGGGCAGTCAGCATTTATGGAATGCCTACTGTGTACGCCCGGCTCTGCCTCTAATCTTCAGCACAACCCTTCAAGTTAGTGTTTTCATTCTTATTTGTAAATAAGAGGAAGGGGTGGCCTTCAGACGGTTGTCCACACACTTAGCCTCACCCAGTGGCAAAGTCAGGATTAGAACTCAGAATCCACATTGCTTCCTCAATTCTACCTGCCTCCAGCTAGAGAGGCCCAAAGGGTATGGTCGTTGGTACTTACTGGGATGTGCCACTCTGTCTCTGCAGCCAACGCTGCCATTGCTCTGTCCAGCTTCTCCCACCCAGCCTCTGACTCTGTCCCCTTTTCCTGTCTCTCTGAGCTCCTCCCCAGGCTTCTGTGTTTTCTGTGCCTACTGGCCTGACTGGAGAGGCTTCACCCAGATGCCGAGAGATGGTTGTGCCCAAGAACTTACATTCTCCCTTTGCTCTGTACCAGAGCATCCTTGGCCACTGACTGGCTGATCCTGGATACAGACGCCCAGTTCCCGTGTCTCAGTCCACACAACCTCAGGGATAAGGTCTGCTCCCAAGTCTCGCTGCGTGAGCTAGGTTGAGGCTGAGGCTAAGCCTTTGCCTAGTTTGTATCCTGGCTTGGCTCCTTTCCCTCCCTATTTTCCTTCTCCCAATCTCTCACTGAACCCAGCTCTTTAATAAATCACTTGCCCGCAGACACTTAGCTTAGAGGCTTCTCTGGGCAGGCTGACCTAAGAACCTTCCTTCCCTTTCCTTCTAGGAAAGGACCCAGTCATGAGAACTTCGATTTATAGGATTCATTGCAAAGTGCTTTGGGACAGATGATCTCTCAGCTCTGTGGATGCCGCTCTCTCTGCCTGATGCCCTTTCACTGCCTGCCTCACGGCGGAACTCGCTTCAATCCTCACTTCCTCTGGGAGCTTCTCCGCTTGATCAGATAGGCTCAGTTACTCTCTCCCTTGTCTTCCCCAGGGAGTGCAGAGAACTGCTAGAGGATCACCAATCCTGGCTTCTCAAATCCCAGCCTCCCCTGCAGTTAAGTGGGGCAGTGTGACTGGTTCTAGCCAATGGAACATGGGCAAGTGAGGTACGTGATTTCTGGGGCCAGGCCATAAAATGTTCCACGCGGTCCTCCATGACGCCTCTCTCTTGCTTGTTGGCTGACATCCAGTAGAGGATTCCAGTAGAAGTCTCCAAGGAGGCCTGGATTTCATAATGATTACATGGACCAGAAGCATTGCACCATGGGATATCTTGTTAGGCCATCAAGAGGCTGGGGTTGTTTGTTAAAGTGGCTTACATTGAATGCCCTAATATGACCCGCAGTTTGTAATAAATCTATTATAACAACGATCAGCCTCCATTATTATTGGTTACTTACTGTCTCACTCAATAGGCTGGAAGATCCTTGAAAGCAGGCAAAAGCTTTCTCTCTCCATGCTCAGTGCCCAGGAAACACTCCATATTCATTTGTTCAATGAATGCATGAAAACACTGTGAGATACGGTGTGATAGGTCAGTCTTCGGGCTCTGGAGTTGAAGAGGTTGGGTAGGAGTCTTTGCTCTTTCTTTTGCTTCTTGGATCGCCTTTGGCAAGTTACCTACCTTCTCTGAGTTTAGCTTCCTAATCTGTAAAGTGGCGATGAAACTCTTGTTATTATCATATCTATTATTGTCCCCACTGACACTGAAATTCAGAGAAAGCATTTGACCCAAGACCACTCAGTAAAGGGCAGTGATGACCTTTGCATTCTAATCTTCCTCTTGCTGCTATGCTTTGAGGAGTTAAGTAGAGAGCTTGTCTGTCATCTTGGGCTTTTCCCCTGGAGCTCTGGGTGACAGCCAGTATTCCCGGCAAGAGTGGTGACCTGAGCGTTTTCAACACCTTCAGGTGCTAAGTTGAGGCAAAGGGCCTGAGTGACTTTCGGGGGAAGAGTCATGCGGTTGGTTAAAAGATACTGCAGAGGGGAGACATGGCTTAAAACCAGGGCCCTCACCAGGAGGGGCTAGACTGTGCCTCGTTGCAGGGGTCAGGCATCGACCTATAAACCACAGAGCTGTGAGGCCAGCTTCGCCCACTTTCCAGGCCCTCTTTTCTCCCCCTCAACTTCTACCTCTCTTCCTCCTCCTCCTTTGGAAAAACAGCAGTTGTCAAGCTACTCTGGCAATCTCTGAGCTTGACTTTCAAGGCCTGTGGTCTCTGAGGACTGGAGCCCAGAGGAAGGTTTTTAGCTCTGCAACCCAGATGGCACGAAGCCCTGGGGTTTCCTGAGGGGTGGGGGGCATAGGGCCCTCCAGAGTTTCCCCGTGCTGCATGGGAGAGGCCCAGCCGGTGTCTCACCCGGTCCCTTGGGAATCAAGGGCCTGCACCCCTCTGGAGAAAGAAGGTCTGTGGGGAATGCTGGGGAATTCCAAGGGATCCTGGCCTGGTTAGTGTTCAAGGCCCATGGCACACAGAAGTCTTGGGGGTTACTGAAGTGTCCTGCTGGAGCCGAGGTTAGCTTGGTCTGTGGGTGACAAGCTCTGCCCTTTTTCTGCCTCCTCTCTCCTTTCTGAAACACACTGTGCTCCTGCCCACCTCCGCCATCTTCCTGGCCTGCTGTCCCCTCCCCTTTCACTACCTGGTGCCCTCCCCTCCTCTTTCCAGAGCCTTTTCTCTGAGGCCCTCGCAGCTGACCTGTTGGCCTTCCACAGTTTCTCAGAGATTTTCTGTGTGTGTGTGGGATGTCTCAGTCTAAGAAGGCTTTGAAGGTAGGGGTTGTGGCTGTTCACCTTTGAGCAAATGCATCAGTGAATGAATGAATGAGTGAATGAATGAGCCAGTGAGGAAATGAATGGACAGAAAAGTGGCTGCCTTTGCTAATGAATGAAAGAGTCAGTGACGGCTTGAAGGAATGAATGAACTTGCCGAGGTGGGAGTGAGTGGGTGAACTGGGAGGTTCTGAGGTGGGGGGCCCGGGGCGGAGACAGCAGCAACAGCAGCAGCAGCAGCAGCAGCAGCAGCAGCAGCAGCAGCAGCAGAGGAGGCTTCAGTGGGTTGGGGAAAGGAGCTGCCTTGGCTAATTATCTGGGGAGGACACAGTGGGCTGTGGGGGCCCTTCCCCCATGCACAGATAGCGCTCTGTCTTCTCTCCTGGCTCCTGTGTCCCCTCAAGCTCCCATCCTTGGCCTCACTCAGAGGAGAACCTTCCTGGCCCCCGCCCTTGGGTTTTCTTGGCAGGATCCTCCTTGGAGGCTGTTTCTTTTGGATGAAGCCTCTCCCTGACCCCTCCTCCCCTCCCCAAGTCCCCATAAAATGTTCAAAGTATTTTCTTTTACTCAATAAAGCAAACAAAGGCAAGGGCAGCCTTGAGGCCTGAGACTGCAGCGCTTGGCCTTGCTCAGCTGAGGCTCGCAAACCACCTTCACGCTGGAGTCTCTGGGGACCTTTCCATGCGCTCCACTTCGCAGATGGGAAAGCCAGTCTCAGAGGAAGGGAGGTTATTCTGCTAAGAGTGGCAGGCAGAGCCTTGACCTTGGGCCTTCTGACTCAGACTGGGGGAAAACCATGCCCCTCTCGTGACCCCTCTCTGCCTCACTTTGCTTCCAGTTAGGTGACAGCAACAGAGGCCTTGGGC